TCAGTTCTCCCTGACTCCTAAATTTAGTCCTCTTAGACTTTCCAAAAGGCAAGGGATGAAAGGGAGGTTGGGCTGTTTTGTTTCTTCTCAGAATCTGTAAGGGATTAAAACATGTTTGTGTTTGTTTATTGATTTAGGTGAAGACATAGGACTTCTAGATCCGAATGGAGAATAGGGAGTCTTCCCTGGCAGTTCCACTGCAGGGGGCACAAGTTCAATCTCTGGTCAGGGAACTGAGATCCCACATCACACACACACACATACACATACAAACCACACGTCAACAACAGCCAAGAACTAGAGGGGGCTCGGCTGTGCAGACAGAAGCTGTGCCTCTCCTTCTCTTTGGGATGGTAGCTAGCACGTGACAGGAGCAGCACACGGTTCTTGGGCGGACGGCGTGGCTGCTGAGGCCAGCGTGGGGTCTGCTTCTCCTCGGACTTGCCACAGAACTTGGCTTCGGTCCTCTCTCATCGCCCTGCTCAGCACCCCACACCTCCTAGGTCCTCCCAGCCAGTGACCTCTGTCACCCATCTTGCCACTTCACTCTCACCTCCCAAAACCCAGCTTAGCATCAATGTATTTGGAAAAGATCTACCAAATAAGCTAACATCAGCCTCAACTAAGGTCTTCCCCAGTGGCTAAGCGACAAAGAACTGGCCTGCGATGTAGGAGCTTCAGGAGACACAGGTTCAATGCCGAGGTTGGGAAGATCCCCTGGGGGAGGAAATGGCAACCCACTCCAGTATTCATGCCTGGAGAATACGAAGGACAGAGGACCCTGGCAGACTACAGTTCATGGGGTCACAGAGTCAGACACGATTAAAACAACTTCGCATGCACAGCCACAGCTGGACAATGGAAGGTAGGGGGTGCGGACCCATGAGAGCAGTCCTTCCCATGATCTCGTGTCTACTTTCTACCAGATGCCACCCTGACCCCTCCATTTCTTTATCTGAAAACTGTGTTATGAGCCCTGTTTTCAAGGAGAAACTGAAAGTACTTTGAGATCACAGAGCTGGCAAGCCACAGAGTCAGGATTTAAACCCAAGTCGGTCTGAAGCCAAGACCCAACCGTTAGTTGCACTTTTCTAGGGACCAGTGACTTTGACCCCAAAAGGTTTAGGGCTGCAGGGACAAAGCAGTGAGGCCAAGGTGGGGCAAAGGCATAAAAGTAATCAAGGCGGACATGCCAATTTGCTGAACAGCACCCATCCACCACTGCTTCTGTATTAAAGCACAAAGAAGCATTTACCTAATCAGGTCAGTGGTCTTCACATACAGAAAACCTGCAGGAGGAGAGGGTGGGCCAAATGGAGGGTAGCATTGAAACACACACAGTATCATATGTAAAATAGATAGCTAATGGGAAGTTGCTGAAGAGCAGAGGGAGCCCCACCCAGCTCCCTGATGACCCTCTGACTAGCTGATGACTCCCTGACTAGCTCTGTGATGACCTAGAGGGGTGGGACAGTGGGTAAACGGAGGCTTAGGAGGTGGGGGATAGATGCTTACTCATGTCTCATTCACATTTTTGTACAGCAGAAACCAACACAGTAGGATAAAGTAATTATCCTCCAATTTTGAAAGAGAAAACCTATGGGAGATACCCAACCCAAATTCTCCCCACCCCCTCATTTCCAATAGAATCAGGGTTACTGTGAAGCTGCACTAATGAACCCATTCGCTGCTGAAGGCCTCCGTCTTACATTCCGCCAGCCTGCAGCGTGGTGCACGCACGTGAGCTCAGCTTTGAACAAAGCCCAGGAGGTTTCCTGTGGCCCCTCACTGCACTGGCATTTGTTCCAACTGCCAAATCTCAAATGTGTCCAGGATCGATAGCAAGAAAGCAAGGCTGGTTTAATCTCTGTCCTGGTGGGTTTGGTGAACTCCTTGGCCAGAGCAGCTTGGCCCTTTCTCATACACTGATGGGCCATAGACACTTCAACAGTAAATTGCCATGTTGTCTGATGCTTAGAGCAGGGCTTATCACACCCACTAAAGAATAAAACTTCCTGCAGCAGCATAGAGGATGAGGCCAAAATAGGGAAACATTAGAGTCTAGGAGTGTTTGGTGCCCTCTTACTCTCTCAGGAGGTGGCATGCTGGCATGTAGAAAGCTGCACGTTGATGGTCTCGTACCTATTGGAAAAGACCGTCTGGCTACCCACCCCCCCACAGCCATCCCTTCTGGGACCAGATACAGAGTGCCTAGCCATTCTGTAACTCCAGACGCTAAGGGAGAAGAGCTCAGAGGTCACCCATCCCAGTCTCCTTTCACTCTGCTGGTGGAAGGACCATGGCCACAGAGGGGCTGTCCCTCAGCGAGGAATCTCTCTCACAGGTTATCTGTATGCTAAAACCACTCACCTGATTATGCAAATATTTCTCTATGCTTTAATACAGAAGAAGTGGTGGGTTGCAGCTGTTTAGTGAATTGGTGTGGTTCCATGATTACTTCCGGAGGAAGGAATGGCAACCCACCCCAGTATTCTTGCCTGGAGAATCCCATGGACAGGCAGAGCCTGGCAGTCTACAGCTCATAGAGTTTCAAAGAGTGGGACACAGCTGAAGTGACTTAGCACACATGCGCGCATCCCAGTTTCTGGAAAAACTGAGTCGATTCAGAGGCCATTGTGGCGTGATGCCACAGTCTCTGAAAAACATGCACAAATGACCATTTTCCACAGAGAAGAGATGGAGTTGTGGTCATCAAGGGCACCAGCCCTGTAGACAGAGTGACTCAGTTCCAGTCCAGCTCTGGGTGTATTATCTTGTGTGGCCATAGGCAGGGCACTTAACTTTACAGCTCATCAGTTCCGCATCCATAACGTGGGCATGCCATAGGGTTTCCTGAAGATAAAACGGGTTAATGGAGGTTCTGCATTTAGAGTCACAACTTGGTACACAGAGACCACCATATGTTATTAATATGCTTTGTGGCCATAGCCCCAGGCGGGCTGAGCAGGCGCGACGCCTGCTGGGGTCCTGCTCCTTGGAGAACTCAGCTGGCGTGGACAGCGGCTGCACCCTGCCTGCCTGACCCGCATGAACGCTTTACTGCCATTGCCACCTGCTCTCCTGACGACTCCTTCTCATTTACCCACCGTTTAATGCACTGGCTTCATTACTACATCTCCTCTCCTGTTTATTTTATCTACATCCAACCTTACGCTGGTAATGTGACATTCCCCAAAGATGCTAAGCCCGCTGGTAGAACTTGGAATAAAGTGATTCCTATAGTAAAGACCCCTGTCTGTCTAGCATGGAGCCCACTCAACTGTTTCTTAAGTTGACAGCAGTGTAATAAATTAGTGAAACACACGCACACATATATATATATAAAACTAGTTAATACACATCATATATAGGCTTTATATTTTAAATATTCTTTAAAGAATCATATGGTTCTGCATCATCCATTTCCTTTTAAACTCACTTGAAAATCTCAATCACTCATCTTTTGCAGGAGACAATATAGAGAATTACCTTGGGCTTCAAACTGGGCCTTTTCCAACTTAGTGCATTCTCTAGGCTGGTACAATTCCTTAGGATATATGCCTCGGCTGATGGGGACCCCTGAGTCAGGCCACTTTCTATAAATGTTCATGAAGCTGTTATGGGGACCACAGCAATGGGCTAAGGCCTGACTCTGCCCGTTTCTGTGAATACTCTATAACCAAAGTACAGAAAACTATGAGCAGGACTCTCAAGCTCTCAAGTAAATATGAATTCTTAGTAGATAAGAGAATCGTGTTATGCACTGGAGAAATAGAAGGCATCCTGCTGAGAACCCTGGGGTAGGAACAGGTGGATGCTGGTTGCTGAAGCGAGAGACCCATATGTCCCCTGGCTAAAGGTCAGCGTCAATGAGGCCTGGATCCAAGCCATGATACTGACCAGGAAGCTGCGGGGCCTGGGTGCTGTCAGAGGAAACCCGGCTCCACCGGCCCTTTCGTCGGGAGCGCAGCTCTTTGCCAAGGAGCCACGTTACCACTGAAGCTGGCCGTGATGCCCTGCCTGTCTTCCCTGCTCCTCCCCTTTGTCACTGACCCTATAGGGCTGCCTTTTGAGGACTTATACGCCTTTGACTAAGACGTAGCTCCGCTTACCCTGGAATCCTCTCTGTTCGCTGGTCACGGCTCTCGCTGATGACCCTAGATTCTTATGCTGCCCAGCAAAGGTGATGGACGGGTGTGGGTCAGGGCTGGACACTTATCCTTCCGCCCTGGGTCCTCAGGACGGGCGAGGACAACCCCCGTGCACACGGTCTGTCTTCTGGAGGAGGATGTAGATAATCATGCTCTCATCTCGTGTGGAATGTGAGGGATTCGGGAGGACTGTGTCAAAGTGCCAGAGAGAGAGGGAAGAGGAAAGAAGGATGGTCGAGGGAAAGCCCGCCAGGCAGAGGACAGTGGCCGCTAGGTCTGAGAAGGCGGGGTCTTCTTGGTCCCCTCTGGTCGTCTGGGGTCGGCTACTGGCTTAAACCCCACCATAGTGTCTAAAATGATGCAGTGTAGTCATTCATCTTCCCCAGCTGCTCCACAACATCCCAATCGTGCCAGACGAAGAGTCGGCCACGGCAACACCCAGACTCCTGGGTCTCACGAAAGCCTCCCTCCCCCTCCCGCCTCTTCCCGCCTCTCCCCTCCATCCTGACTCTCCTCTCCCGCTTCCTCTGCTTCCCCTCCCACCCCTGCCTGTCCTGCACACCACCTCCAAGGTCCTGCTCTGGCCTGTCAGCCCACAGGTCTAGCCCTGCCTTCCCTCTCTCTCTGTGGGTGTTTTAACCCCGGTCTCTGAGAGCAGGCTGCAGGGTCCAGGCGTCCCAGGGAGGAGCCCCTTTGAGTCTCTCCGTTTATGGGGACGTGGGAGGGTCAGGGGTTGGGTGGAGGCTGTTCAGAGAGAAGCATGTCTGTGCAGTGCTTGGAGGGGCTGAGGAAGCTGCCCTCTGGATGTGTGCTAACGCTAACAAGCCTGTCTCTCTTTCCCCTACACAGGGCCTGGAGCCGTCATTGATGGTGTAAACTCGGCCTCTAGAGCGCTCGCTTGCCTCTGGCTATCAGGGACCCTCTTTGCCCACTTCTTCATCAAGTTTTGATAAGAAAGCATAGGTCTTCTGAGCAACGCCTGCTTCTCCATATCACAGACTTTACCTGCACTGCGGAGGGCCAAACAGTTTGGGTTTCTTTTTGTTTCTGTTCCTTTTCTCAGTTTTGGGGTTTGTTTTTTTTTTTTTTTTTGGACTCTTTTCTTTGTTGATTTGATTTTTCTTTCTAGTTTGAACGAGTGGGGTTTGGGGGAGGGGTGGGCAGGGTTCTACCACATGTAGGATAATCACTCATAGGTGGTGTGTCCAAAAATGGAACCCGTTCTCCACCCTTCCCCTCCCCTCCCTCTGCTCCCGCTGGCATCGTCACCACCAACCCTCACACCAAACCGTAAGTTCCATTTGGGCAAAAAAACGTGCCTCGTGATAAACACCCTGAAGACACAACTTGACTTATAATGTAGTGCGCAGCAAGAATTATATCCAAGTGTCCTATTACTTGTGTCTTTAAAGCTGTGGACCATTTTCCTGACTATAATGTACAGATCCCTCTCTCCATGTTTATAATGATCTAATTACATGAGGGTTCACATCCTTTCTTTCTGGGAAGTTCTCTTTCTCTCCCTCTCTCTCTCTCTGTCTCTGTCTCTGTATCTGTCTCTGTCTCTGTCTGTCTCTCTCTCTCTCTCTATATATATATATATATGAAACATTGCCATCTTTTCTAGCCATTCTGCCCTATTTGCTTTCTCTACGAGCTATAAGGATTCAAAGTTTGGGGGTAGGCAAACAACCCAAACCTGAACATTGAGAAGTCATGTAACTGAAAATGGGGGGAAGAATCTTGAGGAGAGTATTTCTCTCTGAAAAATACTATCCAGTTCTTAAAAAATGATCCAGAGGTGGCTGATTATTTAGGTTTTATCAAGCTCACTATCAAAGTAATACACTGTTTCTCATCTACTCAACCATCTGATTGATCACTCCATCCAATTATCTCCCCACCCATTTTCCTCTCTGGCAATCCACTTCCTTTATATATCAATCTATCAGTGTAATTATCCAACACATCTTTCTATTTCATTCCCCACTACTCACTATCAATCCATCACTGTATTCATCTCTAGTCATAGTGTGTCTGTTCCACTGGATTCATGTCTCCTCTACCTTCTGCAGACATTGGCATCTTCAGAATTAACCATCAGCTTCTCATGTGAAAGCCAATGATCTCATGGGCTGACAACATAGAAAAGCCGTATGTCACGGGCTGTCTGGAATGGCCCGTCCATCTACCCCAAGTAGGTGCTGGTAACAGATGGACCGAAGTAGCAAGTGAAAGATCAGTCAGTCACTCTTCCCAGAAGAGATCGTGTTTCCAGAAACAGCTTCTTGGGAAGCAGATCGGCCTTGGCAAAACCTTGATGAGCATCGTGTTTTATCTTTCTCACTTGAAGGACCAAGGTGCCAATCTTCATGCTTCTCTCAGCCTTTCAAGAAAGTGCATGTCAGGAATCTATGAGACTGTCCTTAACAGAAAGAGACAGAAAAACACACTTCTGTCTCTTCAACGTGAAGACAGCCGTCCATCTGAGTGGGGTGACTTCTGCTGTCGTCCCCTTTCTGCTCCAGTTTTGGTTTCATGTGTTTGAAAACTATCCAGTAAAGAGCCGATGGAAGCCAATTACACGGCGGGTGTGTTGACAGCTCTGGTATTTGTTTCTGGAAGCTCTTCTGAGCTGAGGGCACTTGAGCAAACTGACTTAATTTCCAAGCTCTTGATTAACACAACACTGCAAACAGACGGGGAGAGTAACATGCATCTTCCTTGGATACAGGCTGCTTCTCCAGGAACTTTGGGGGATAATGCCCTCAGCTCTCCATGTTCAGATCTTTCCAGAACACAGAGACAAGCTGACCCTATCCTTCTGCTTTATCTCCCGGGACAAGAAGGACTCAGCCAGCGAGAGTGACTGGGATGCAGAAGAATGGCATCAGAAGCCTGCAGGGCTGTGCCCTTGACCTGCGCTGCAGGGGGTGACCTGCTGAGAAAGAGGAGAGCCAGCAATGACTGGATCAAAGACTCGGGCCCAACAGAATACTCTTTAGCGCCACGATCTAAAGCATGAGAAATATTAGCTCCAGAGTTCCCTTCCCGCCATGCTTCATTGGTCTTCTTCCTCTGAAATGTGGCCTCTTTGTTTCTCTCTGTTATGACACATGAACGTGATGTACGGTGGAGAAACACACTCACGTGTGCACGGGCATGCGTGGGTTGACTTGGCATATGAAAAGCTCGGCACTTCCATAGAGTTAGAGCTGGTGTGAGTGAAATTAATATTATACTTGCCAGCTGTAAACAGACATCTGCATTTCCCAGGGAGCTGCCAGGAGCCAGATTTGCAGAACGTGAATGATGTGCCAAAAGCAGTGTGTGGATTCCAAGTTCCAGGGATGATCGTGAGCAGGCATGGAGTCAGAATTAAAGGTCGGACATCAGTGTTTCAGACCTGTCACCGCGGCCAGGGTGATGTCAGACACTGAATGAGAGTGTAACGTGTCACATCGAGTGTTCTGCTGATAACATGCTTGCTCCTTAGGAGTAGAAGTGTGGACGCTGTGGGGACGAGACGGTCTTGGAGAACAGGGTGCTTGAAATGGACGAGCTGGGCATGTTCTTTCCTCTGAGACTTGATCAAAAGGAAGGCGTCCATCCTTCTTCAGCCAGGAGAATCCCTGAACCTTCCAGACACAAAGAGCCTGGGTTCAGAGCCACTGGAGAACTCTGTGCTGCTTCTTACAGCACATACCAGGAAGCATGTCTAGGAGTTACAGACTCCAGCCCTGTTTCAGAGGGGAAGGGTCCTAGCGTCACTCCTCACCTGTCTGGGATAAAGACAATGAAATAAGCAAGACCCAAGGAAACGGGGCAGTGGAACAGAAAACCCTTCTGCCCAGCAGACACAGTCCAGATTCTGTGTTGTCTGGGTTCCTTTGGTGGGGATGGCTCCACAGGATGGGAACTGTTACCCAACACCTTGGAGCATATGGAGTAGCAAATGCCTAAAGACAACGTCCAAGTCTCTTTACATATGGAGGGCAGATGGATCAGGCCTGCTGGAGAGAGATTTTTTTTCAAGGTGCCAATGGTGGGGTGGGGCTTGGGGTAGAGGAGGAAAAAATTAACTCTTGAGTCTCTGAGAACCTGCGGCTTTTCACAGGTTCTGCACGTGAGATGGAACCCAGTAAGGCTTATCAAGAAATCAGGTGAGAGAAACTCGGCAATGTATAATAGGCACTCTGAAACCCTGTCTCTCCCCAAAATATGTATTTCCACCAAAGTGAAGCCAGTGTAAGTGCTAGTGTTGAGGTCCTGGCCAAGCTGTTTTTTCAGTAGTTTCATGTCAAGTGCCTGATACAGTCTTCTGCAAGTTGAAGCAAGTGTGTTTAGTTTTTTTGTTTATTTGTTTTATCTGTGGGAAAGAGGCCATCCAGGCAAGTGGTGGTTGAAACATGCTCCTTTTTTATGCAGAGAAATTATGCTTAGTTGTGTTCAACTGTACAGAAGGAAAGGTGAGGTTTTGTATCAGAAAGAGGACCGGAGCTCTTTCCTCTGAAACCCATGCCTCAAGGTAGACAATGCATTTCATAGGTTGGACTGTTCGTTTTCAAAACCTGGGTGGGAGGTATACTGTGGGACTTGGGGAAAGTCCAGAGGAAGTTTGAGTTCAAGGATCTGTTCCTGAACCAATCCAGCAACTTGCTCTCCATGTGGAGGGGTCATTGAGCTCCAATTCTCCTGGGAAAATGCTCGGGAGAAGAGTAGAGAACCTTGAGGTGGGCAGTCCATCTCCAGGCAAGCTCATCAACTTCATAGCCTCAGGAGTGGCTGGAGATTGCTATTTACCTCCAGTTCCAAGGGAGTGTTTCCCCTCCCCGGTTGAGTATGGATGTCATCATGAGGATGGAAAAGTAGGGTGAGGGATGGGGCCATGTCACCTTTCCCAATTTGACCCTGAGTCCTCACCAGAGAAAATCTGGCTTTGCAATACCTGGAACCAGCCCTCCTTCCCCCCACCAAAAAACCCCAAGCAATTAAAAAAAATTTTATCATCTCTTTGGAATTAGAGGAAGTAGGGGAAGTGGTGTAGAATGTTTCCCATTGGCAATATTCATTTTTTTTTGTTTTCTCCAAAAATGAGGATCATTCACATTCATTTTGTATGATCCCTATTCCTAGAAACTTACACCCAATTGCCTCACCTCCTACTTGCCCACGCTTCTCTGTCTTTTTATTTTAAGACGAGTAAGTTGGAGCAATTTCAGGAAAACTTCACAGGTGTGTAGCTAGGAAGGCAACGTTCTCAGAAAGATACCATGTGATGAGAACTCCTAATGATCACTAACAGCCAACAAATAAAAATGCTGTTCTCATTTCCCTCATTTCTTGAGAGAAGAGAAGTAAATGAAAGAAGGAAGAGATAGATATGCAATTAAAAGATGCGGCGAGAAGATAGAGCTGAACCAAGCAATTTAGCCTTCAGGTGCAGAACACCGGCGGTCCACAGGGCTGTGGAGTGGACTCAATTAGACACAATTGTCTTCAGCCTGCAAGTAGCCAGTGAAGCCTAATTTCCCGTGTTTTAAAAGACATTCCATTTTGTTTCTTTCCACGGTGTCCTTTTAAAGCACAGGGTTGTTTTTGTTGTTCCATGATGCTGAGTGCGGAAAGAAAGATGATGAACCCTCTGCTCTTTTTGGGGGGGGGGCCACATTCTACGCTATTGGCCAATTTAAAATGATATCAATCATAGCAATGATAAGTAATCCTAGCTGCCTTTGTGTTAGTTAAAGGGAGCATTTTTAATCATTCAGAACCTTTTGTGACATGTAAAGTGCAATTGTGAGGAACGTGTGGGTGTATGAAAATGTATCTGTCAAGTTCAGAGTCCTCTAGATTAAAAAAATTTATGACTTATCCATGGTGCCGTCCTAGCCGTGTCAGACAATGGGTATGCCCGTTCTCACAATTATCCTGCAAACAGATCTGTGTTCAAACGCTTTAAAATTTTATCACATGGTACAAGAGTATAACTTTGTCAGCCTTCTAGAGGTTTTTTTCCTCCCCTTCTATTTTCTTTCTGAATTTTTTCCTTTGAAAATCAATGAAGACTTTATTTCTGTCAATAATTGTATTAAGGGTGAAAATACTACCTGAATTTTGTGCATGTTACATTGTAGTTGTAACCTTTTCTAATTCAGGATGAACACTGAGATGGTTGTGATTGTGCAGTGTATCAATAAAGTTCAAAGTAATTTGTAACTTTTGGGGGGCTGTTTATTAGGACACCGCATTGAGTATCCAGGGATGGGGAAAGCTAAGCAGGGTATGCTTCTCCCATGTGTGTGTGTGTGTGTGTGTGTGTGTGTGTGTGTGTGTGTGTGAGGCTTTGGGAAGGAGATGCGATCAGAAAACTGGGTACCATCTCTCTCTCTCTGTCCCTCTCTTTCATGCATGTATACACCCACAGGCACACAGAATACTATAATAAGCAATTTCATGTTACAATTGCATATCTTATATCTATGCCATTTACAAATCATACAAAATGCAAATAATGTAAAATGCAGCTGCAGCCTCAGAGTCTAATTTATTGGCTTAGGCTACAATGAAATCAGAAGAGAGGTTTCAGAAAATGAATGACCAGATATCACTCAGTTTGAGCACTCCGTAACAGTTCCTGCAGCTTGAGCCCATTGGACCAAGCACCACTTTGACAAGAGTAAGTATGAGGAAATATGGTGACTGTGATATGCACTTACTCTTTTTTTTAAATTAATTTTTGTTGGAGTATAGTTGCTTACAGTGTTGTATTAGCTTCTTTGTACAACAAAGACAGTCAGCTATACATACATATATATATATATATATATACACATATATATACACTCTGTTTTGGATTTCCTTCAAAACACACTTATTCTTAAAAGTACATTGGAGGTACTGTTGGTTTACTGTAGCATCCACAGGGTAACGGATGAGGAAGAGACCTGGAGAGCAAGTTCATTCTTCCAACTGTCTTTCCTAAAACATCTTTCTCTTTCAGTAAATCTCCCACCATCTTGTCACATATCCATCTGCTCTTCCAAAGGAATGGGTATTAACCTCTTTCTTGCAACTTAGCTTCCCACCTGCCATTTCTGTATCAACGAACCCTTCCAAGCTCTGCTGTTGACCAAACGTGTGATCTTGGACTTGATGTTTTGCCTTACACATCTTTATTTCCCAGCTGCACCATCATTAAATTTACCCACCCTCCCCAGTGTGTTCTATCAAAGTTGCCTGCAAAATTTTGTGTGTCTCTTTCAACCATTGGATTCCTCAAGACTGACCCCCAATGAAGCTCAGGCCAGTGGCCGATAAGGATGTGGTCATGCCACGGGAAGTGGCGGAAGATTCTTCTTTTGATTTTATAGACTCTCTGTCAAACCTGGTCAAGTCTGGATGCTGGAATGATGAGGCTTGTTCCTCATGGCTTCCTGGACAGACAAGGGCTAATCCCTGGCTTTCAAGACTCTGTTCCCCACAGGGGATGGAACACAGATAACTTGATGGACTAGATCATGTTCTTTGTAAATTAAACCACCAAGAACATGGTGGGCACCAAGTGATGGAGAGTTTCCAATTTTCTCAGACTCATTGTAAAATCCTGACTTGTCGAGGAAACAGATTTCCAGTTCTGACGTCTTAATGCCTTGAGTGCTCCCACTCACCCTCTCCTTTTACTTCTTCCTTTTAATCACCCTCTTTCCACCCATGCCTGACCCCCTCCTGCGCCTGCTCATCCCACAACATTTACCCATCCATTTGCTTGCCTGCTGGCACAGACATTTATCGGTCTTTCACTTCATCTGGCCACTCAGCGCCATCAATCATTGACGTACCAATTTATTTCTCCATCAGCTAACCACT